AAAACTTTGTGACGTCTCGTTGGCTCATTAATTAGGCTATGTAAAAGTATTCACCCTATTCACGTCCACATTATTGTGCTTGGCTTGCTTAGACACGACATGGCTATGCGTGTGACAAAAAGTTTTGATTTGTCAATACTCAAGCCATCTTTACTCATACTGCGTACAGAATCACTACCTAAGAAACCCTGTCTATAGGCAGCAAAGGCATATTTGACTTTTCAAAATTTGTCGCTTCTGTGAAGGTACAGAAGCTTTGAAACATCTTCTGATCAACTGTAACGTAGGCGTCCCTGTTTGGGACGCTCAACAAAGGGCTTTTAAACAATAACTTTATTCAAAATATTATAGCATGCATTATCTCCTGCCATCTAGGAACAATTATTCAATGCCTGTTGACACGATCTTACTAATAGTTATGCCCACCTTACACGAAAACGCGGCATGCCATACAGGCATGCGGGTACAATGGTACCATCCCGGTCGCATTTCGTACAAATGACTTTCCAGCCCGAAGACTTACTCAAAACCACATTTTCAATCACGTTGGTATCGACTCTTCGTAGGATGCACTGCTGTAATACGCTTTTATAACATAGTGCTATTGGAAACATATTTGTGCGTAACGCTTGTTGTATGTACGAGCAGCCTTGGATATTTTGCTCACAGTGTTTGTTCGTCATGTAAAGAAGCACTGGCGTGGCTCCGTCGCAAAGCTACTGACTTTTACACGCGATGCTGTTCTTCGACTCCGACTCGAGCCAAATTTTTCATTTCTTGATGACCCGCAGTTCGGGGGATCGAATCCCGGCCGCGGGGGCTGCATTTTCAACGAAGGCGTAAATGCTCGAGGCCGCTGTACTACGATATAGGTGCCAGAGGTGGTCGAAATTTCCGGAGCCCTCTATTATAGCGTCTCTCATAATCATGTCGGGGTTTTGGGACATAAAACCGCGGATGTTATTGTGAGGTAATTAAATGTCTCATCATTTTTTTAATTTGCATCCAGATCAATTTTTGGCTCACAGCCATCGATGCGGACAACAGAATCGAAGTGGCACAAGTATATAACGGTTTATATCGCGTTAAAATTGTCCAGATATTGGCGGCGTGCTTCGGCTGCAAACGCGATGAAGCCATGTGGATGAATCGGTTCTGCTTAAGAGGGCATCCTTATGTGTTCCGCCACTGACATACAGCGCGTTGTTCATAGATACACTACAGCGTTTTTTTTTTCAGGTAGCAAACACAGAACTGTGATACGTACACCACTGAGTATCTGCTTAAGAGTAAACGTCTAGCTCAGTTAATTTATTTTTAGTAGTAGTAGCAGTAGTAGTAGTAGTAGTACTAGTATTAGTAGTAGTAGTATTGGTAGTAGTAGTAGTAGTAGTAGTATTGTTGTTTAGTCAGATAAGCGAGGTGCATGACTTTTGTTTTGTTTTTGTTTTTTCTAGTGCGCCAGTGAGGCATGAAGCTTGTAGTGCCAATTGCAAAGCTTCTCAGCGTCTTGATCGAAATGCTATCAGCTCAACACTTAACCGTGCAACACTTAACACTCAGTTTTTTTTAGCTTGACGTTCTGACGTAGTGATAAGGTCAGTGAAGGTATGAGTGCAACAGGTTAGCTTTGTATACTTAGAATGCCATAATCGCATTCCAGATTTAGTATTTCTTGGATTGAGGCTTAATCTATAAAAGCTTGAAACCCCACTTCAGTGTTGGAATGTAGCCGTAAAAGCACATACAGACACCGGGAGTAAGCAAACGAATAATGTTAACAAAGTACAAAATACTGCGTGCAAGGAAGACAAGTCTGAAAATAATTGTGGTAAAAATCTCCAAGCACCTGTCAGTATGGAAGCCAATCGACGCGAAATTACGTTACTATCGTCTTTGAGGGAGACGTAGCAATCCTCATTGCCAGCATGCCCGTAAAAGAATATGATTGACGTCGAAATTAAAATTGTTGACTTGAACGGGGCCGTACAGAAAAGCAGATCAAGGATGATAAATTGAGGTAAAGCTTTCAGGTAAGCGATTTAGTTTTGTCGCTAAGCTTTCGAGAAGTCGCACTGCGTTTTTTTTTCTTTTCATTTGTTGAGCCATGTAGTAAAATACACGAGTAGAAGACGTTCCTTGTATGGTATCGTTGCTTAGCGGAACGAACTTACCGAACACCACCAGCAGTCATTGACCCCATGATGCCGGACCGGGAAGAAAAAGAATGCTGTGAACTGCCAAGGTATACATGTAAGATCTCTTCCGCAGTCCGGGCAAGCTAATCGGAGCGTAGTCTGCCGGTTGACCTTCTTGCCTTTCCACATAGCGTTTATCTCTCTCTGTGTCTTTAAAAACAAGTCTTTAAAAACACCACTGGCTCCGGATTCACAGTGAGATGCGAAGGACACGAAAATTATCTCTCGTTTTTCTCTCCATTATTGTTTGGCCCCGAAAGTGTACCTCGATGATTCTGTACCAGCCATAGCTCGATGCTATGTCTTCTTGATTGATATATTGTTATTCTCTAGTCATGTACCCATGTATCCAAAAAAGCAACCCTGGCATTCATTCATAATTAGGTGCTCACTATGACATCTTTACACAGTAAACAGTGCATGTCAGGCCGGGCCTTATCTCATATGTTGTTTTCTTTACCGGCATAAAACTAAACAATTTAGGTAAAATTGAAGGAAGATACTTATTTGACAGGTACAAAGTAAATAGTTATTCTAATATGTAAAAGTGTGAAACCATGTTTCATCATGTTTCCTCTGTTGAAATATATTTTAAGCCACGATAACTATTCTTCAAATATTATGTCAGTCCACTCCCACAATTTTCCAAGTCAGACCAAAAAAAAAAAAAGTCAGCATTCACCTAGAATACAGAGGTGTATGCTTTCAATAAATCCATATGCGGCGAATAATGGTTTACATCATAAGGAAACAAGCTCTTCGGATGACGTCACTTTTCACAGATTCACAAGACGGAACGTCCTGAGTTGTTACTTCCCTAATAGCTTCAAATACTAATTAACAACATAGTGCATGGGAGGCCTAAATGGAGCCTACATTGTTGTGCAATAATTCCGTCAAATATTGCACTTCTGATATCATCGTGTGTCGTTTACCAAATATGCCGAGAAAATGACCTAAAACTATGTATTTGATTCCAAAGGCAAGCCTGGTGTACATTTTTACAAAGTAATTTTTCCCACAGCTCAGGCTTTAGAGGTTTTCGAAAACATTTAAGCGCTGGTAGAACTCGTCGTTTTGTTTTCTGATGACAAAAATAACTACTTTCTTGGCGGGGCTATGCGAGGAGGCTCTGCGTTTTGAAATGGTCACCTAATTTTTAGAGGCAGCGAAGAAAGAAGCGGTGTATTTAAAAGCTCTTTCATATTAGCGAAAAGATGAACAAACACCATTATTAACAAGTACTAACGACTTCCATATCTTTCTTTCTTTCCTTAAGATTCAGTACCGTTTCTCATTCCGGAACACTGATGCTCGTTTGTACATTCTTGCTTTTTGGCCATCCGTGTCGCCGCTTTGGTCACTGCAATGATAATTTTTGTTGATGCTTTGGTTCCTGAGCCAGACAAATTCTGGCGCTTCAAACGGAGGTAAGTGCAGATGCTTTACGTGCGAAGATAATGATAATATTAAGACACGCCGTAACCAGGAGCCCCTGACTAATTTTGAACGTATCGGTTTCTTGACGCTGTAGCTCAATCTATGTATATGGATATGTTTGTATATCGCTGCAGTTTAAGTGCCTTGGCCATGAACCAAACCCGCGGGCTCCGCCTCCGAACCAGTTCTTTAGCCGTTTTATTACACCATGGTATGCAAAATGATGGCGCTAGGTTATAGCAGAATTTTGCAAACACGTCAAGGGGAAGTTTCATTCTTGCTCTCATATTTTATCCCCGGATTCAATCTGGAAGCTCCCAGTTATTCATAGGATGCAATTCTGAACATGGAAGAAAAGTGTTTACCCAAGACATGTAAACAAGTTTCAAGCCGCAACCGACATCACCCTCTTACGTACGCTACTAACAGATAACGCTGCTTCTACCTAAGAGGCACTGTGATGCCCAAGATGGCTCGTTTCCCAGCGAGGCGAGAATCCCGGAGTAAGGACAACGAGATGACCATGATTCTAGGTAGAATTATTTCGGAAAACAAAGAATAAGTGACAACACTCGTGTGTCAGCGGAACGGCCAGCGTGGCGGACCAGTCGTGTGCCAGCCGCCTCTCGCCTTTCGTGGTCGCGGGCGTGGGTAATTTTTGACCCGTTCGGCGAAAGTGGCGGTCCTTTCTTGTTGGGCAACCGTCTTTACGTTGTGCTGAACAAAGAGCACGCACGCGACGACACCGACTGGGCAGGCGCGCCACCGCGCGTGAGAGAAGCCGGAGTATAAACAAACACAGACCGACGCAACCGCGGAGCCACAGATTCCCGCTACGCCGGTGAACGGGTTTTCCTGACGCTGACTCGTTCACCGTCTGACGCTCCGGCGACGGACGCCGAAACGAACCCGCTCGTCTACCCTCCTCCTCCTCCTCCCGCTCTTTTGTGAATCCAGTTTTGTGGCATCGCAGCCGCCTCGTCCGCCAATCGGGAGCGTTCCTGCGTTCCTGCCGCGACGTTTGATAGGGGAAAGAAACCTGTGCGCTACACCTGCCGCCTCGCCTTCTGTCAAGCACATCCTCGCCACGACGCGCGACGCAGCGCACGCACAGGCAGCCCATTCTGACGGCGCCGGGCGACAGTGTGAAAAGGGGCACGCGCGGGGTGCCGAGTATGCACCTTGGAACACCCCATGTGTTACGGGCGATGATGATGACGTCACTGACGTCTCCGACCAACCAGTGGGCTCCATGGTGTCAGACACCTCGCCCTATTGGCTCGGCAGTACGCGCGACACTACGACGCGTACACGGGCCCCTGCTACGGCTCGAAGTTGTCTGACGTCAGAGAGCCAACCGAGACCGACCATCTAAATGGCGTCGATCTCATTCAAGAATCGCCAGTGGCGGCTGAGCGCTCTACAAAAGCGGGTACACGCCACGCACTGCTATATATACAACGCCAGTTTGACCAAACCACCCCTGCCCGCACCGTGCTACAGCCATGGCCCTGGTGGACGAAGGATTCCGGTACATGTCCTCCCTCGCCGACCCCCGGGTCCAGGGTTGGCCATTGGTCGATAGTCCTGTCACCGTGGTTAGCATCGTGGCTGTGTACATCGCGTTCGTAACTACGGTGGGGCCACACTGGATGCGGGACCGCAAGCCCTACAGCCTGAAACCCTTGATTATGGCGTACAACTTGGCCAACGTCCTGGCTAGCGCTTACTTCGCCGTCCAGTTCTTCCGGCACACTTACCTAGGGGGTGGCTACAGCTGGGCCTGCCAGCCGGTGGACTACTCTGACAGCCCCAATGCTGTGGCCCTCACCAACCTCGCGTGGTGGTACCTGATGCTCAAGATCGCTGACCTGTTGGACACCGTCTTCTTTGTGCTCACCAAAAAGCAAGGTCACGTGACTGTGTTGCACGTTGCGCATCATGCTATGGTTGTGGGCACCGTGTGGCTGGTGCTGAAGTACGCCTGTGGAGGCAACAATATTATGACAGCGGCCGTAAACAGCTGCGTGCACGTGATCATGTACGGCTATTACTTCCTCTCTCTCATGGGTCCCTCGGTGCAGAAGTATCTTTGGTGGAAGCGCTACATCACCCAAATACAGCTCATCCAGTTCGTCGGTCTCGTAGCGCATGCCATCTTGCCCTTGATCGTGCGATGTGGCTTTCCCGTTTTCTTCAGCTATCTGTGCATCGGCGAGTGCGTTTTCTTTTTCCTCATGTTCTTCCGGTTCTACCGCAAGAGTTACAAGAAACTAGTCAAGGACTGTTAGTGCCAAGTCATCGCATACTAGAATCACTTCAGCAGGGACTATTGCCAATCAGACGGCGCAGCAGGCTGTTTCCTGGCATGATCGGGTGAGCGTGCAATTCGCAAGCATCGCGGGAACATCAGCTCGACGTACATTTTCTTGGACTTCTTGAGCGTTTCATCGGACAAATCATGGTGACGAGCGCACTCGCGAGTATGCCTCACTTTTTCGCTAGTGTCACAGCTCACAATGCTCGCGCTGCGCAGCTATGCACAACACTTATCCATGACGGAGAGTGAATGTGGAAAGGACATGTCAAACCCGAGTACTCTTGACAACTGTACGCAGTACAGGTGCCATCAACATCGACGGGATCGTTCGTCTTCGCATCGAAGGTTGCAGCGTGCACGCACACATACTCCCTGACTTTTTGTATATACTACGACTACAACTCGCAAGATAAGCGTGCCAGGCCGTGAAAGCAAGAGGCGGTGGCTGAAAGGCGTATTGCACATACGACGTGCCAGGCTGAGGAAGCAGCGTAGGCGAGGTTTTTTTTTTCTTTCCTATTATCGTTTGCCGATTTTTATGCTCTCTCTATTTTCTCATTGGCGTGATCCGCGTCCTCATTTCGGTCTCGCTTCGCAGGCGGCCTCCCGTTGTTAGCTTTCATTGCCACTGTCACAGCTTCGTCGGCGCGGACAGGCAGGATTGTGCCTTCCTGCACTTTCAGCACGCCCTTTCCTCTTCCTCCAGGCGCTTTGTGCCAATAGGTGCTGCCGTCGTCATAGGAGCCATTTGCGTAAAGGTCAAGCTGTCCTTATGCCGATTGCAATAGTAAGTTGACTCACGGTCCCAGGAGAGAAAAACAAGAATAACACCGACGTCTCCGGAAGACACAGTCTCTAAGACACGCTGAACGACCCCGCTGAATGAGGTCGCGAGTGACACCCTTTCTACTGTGGAGAGATTCGTATCGGCACTGATCAGGAGAAAAGGTCGAGCGGTCATAGACGATTCTCTTCTCCTCGCGAGTGTATCTGCCGTTCTCCAAAACAATGCGAGGTCAATCAACAGCAATTGGGTGCCATAGTGCATCCATTCAGTACAGGGAAACTACGGAGAGCCATATCCAGGACTGGCATTTTTTTTTCCTCGTGTGTCCACATTGGAAATCAAGTAAGCTTCCTCTGTGGACCACAGTGTAAGTTTCAATACTAGTGCGAAAAGCAGAAAGCAGGGACATGGTGGCGACGAATTCCTATTTGAGGGGTTGGTTAAATGAATGGCGTAAATTGGATTGGCTTAGCTCAATGATTTCCCGCAAGACAGCGACGAATGAAAGTTGCTTTTGAATCGAACAGTCGATGAATAGACAACCCACAGTTTCCTAAAGGTAACCAGCACTTTCGACATTGCAGCCATATGATGATAAAACCTTCAAATGGTGTAGCGAACTGTCTTCTTTCCGAGAGCAAACTGAGCATTGGGATGAGAGAGCCGGTTTAGTACTGGTCACGTCGTACTCCCGCACCAAGCCGTGCTCTGAAAATTCCGCTCAGGCTCCATGTGATATTTTTTTGACCAGGTTCGTCAACCCTGAACTTATACGAACGTACCTCGAATGCTCACTTCGAGCTGCTCTGGATACGAACGCTTGTATTTTTAGTCTTCGCTTGTGTTTTAAAGCAGTCTCTCGCAAGGCCCGATTCGAGCAATGTAACCGGGACTCGAGAGAGACTCACGTCCCATCACTCATCGAAAGTTCACTCCCATCGGTGATCCAGCCGCAGGTATTGTCAAGTCCTGTGGTTGTGGAGAACGACTACATTCAAGAAGCGAGCTCACCACATTCCATCCGTTCTTGCTCGTATCGAATGTTTTTATTCCTGTAATTATTTATTTTCGATATTGAGCTTACTCGTCCTATCATTTGTACATAGAGCGCAACTGACTTTCTATTGTTGAATGTATTGAACTATGAGAGAATGGTATTACCCTTGTTCGTGTTTTTTTATCATGAAGCATATTGACGTGAAGAATTAAAGGAACGTTGATTATACGGAAACTCGTTGTTTTGGTTGTTCTCTAGCGCTTAGCGGCACGAATGCTTTATACACGCGCCTTTAATGTCCACGCAGCGAGGAGCCACCGAAAAGGAATGACGATCAAGGAGGCTGAGACGATCACAGTGTGCTCTCTGAAGTCAATTGGTCTTACCAAACTCTAGTGCTGCCCATTCTCGGGTGCTAACAAACAACACTACATACTGTTTTTCGTTCGTAGGTAGCCTTGCTGTACGTCTATACAGCTAGGCTACCTCAAGTGGTGCATGACGTGTGCAGTGCGGAATGCTCTTTAGCGGGTACCACCTCCAGACGTTTTAAGTGCGCAAAAAGAAAAAAAGAAACTATTGCATTTTTACTGTGCTTGCACATTATGTATCTTTAAGTGAACTGAAAATATGAACGTGCTTTTTGCCGTCGATTGCTCTTATCAAACTCTCGCGTATCCCGCTTCCGGGTCATAATAAAGAACAGTGTATATGTTTGATTAAGCACGTCAGTGAGTGGGCTAGTAATAGATACGAACTGCTATACTAAATCTGTACAACTAGGCTACATCATGTGGTCCACGGAATGTGCAATGCCGAACGCTATTTAATGACTGCCCCATTCTAATGTTTAAGTCTGAAGTATAGGAAAAGAAACGCTTGTACTTTTGCTATGCCTCCTTGTAGAATTATATGTTTAAATGAGCTAGTTTACATGTGTTTCGAGCATAATTACGCTAGAACACACGAGTTGAGGTGAAGTAATTTTAGTTCACAGTTCTTTCATACTTGCTCACTTTCACTCGCCATTTCAGTGTCTCGCCCTTCACGAACATTCCTTGAACATTTTCTGTTACTCCAAACAGGACTTCATTAGCACGAAACAATTACCTTAGGCCAAGCCTCTTTTCAAAGCAGGAGTCTAAGCTCTATTGTGCTTAATTTCATCTTAATTACTTCCATCATATGTCTGGCGTTTTCTTTTGGCTCGGTCCGCACACTTTTTTCTCAGCTGGATTTCAGTCGGCCCACAAGACTTCAGGCACACACCTGTTGTTTTCAATTACTACGTGAAGGACCTCTGAAAATGCGAAGGAAGAATTACCATGCGCAATCTCATTGACGAATAATAATTGGAGTACAGCACTGCACATGTGGCCGAACAAAACGTTCTCATTAAAGCGAAAATGAGTGCAGGTATACATTGCTTGTACTCGAGGTCTGGGGATATCATTAGGTGACTGTCGGTTTAAAGACTAACAAGCCCGTGCCAGCCTGTTCCATACCATTCATGACAGCTCCCTGGTGAACGACCTGCAGTGGTGCAGTAAATTTACCTTCCCTCAACTTGATTATCCGTCATAATTCACGACAAACACTCACTCGAGAGAGAAGAGCCACAACTGTATTGAGGAGAAAGCAGTGAAAATAATAATAATAATAAAATAACGAGTGCACTCTTTTCATTTTGGTGGGAAGACAGCACAGTGCTTCGGTTTGCAAGCTTACTGATTTAATATATATATATATACATATATATATATATATATATATATATATATATATATATATATATATATATATATATATATATATATATATATATATATATATATATATATATATATATATATATATATATATATATATATATATATATATATATATATATATATAGGGAACGTCCGTTCCTACTAAATAATTAGTTGCTGATGGGCTACATGTTTAACCTTTATATTGAACGAAGCACCTCGCAGGAAAAAAAATCCTATAGCACATGTGTTTGTGTGATTGCTATGCCTGCGTGATCGTTTTCTTTGTGCGCTGCTTCATTAAATACGTTTCATGGAGCAGGTTTTTTTCGTAGAGGAAAACTGGATCAGCTGCTTAAAGTATGGCTTAGGAATGAGTTCTGAGAACATGAGCTTTCGGAGCAAGACTCTGCGTTCGGACAACTGTGCTGCGAAGCCATGTCGAGTGATGTTTCCGGGCTTAGACCAGTATTCCCAGTTTCGGTACGCTTCGCATCACACGTTGCTATAGGGTAATAGCATTGAGATCAATACATCAGCTTATGATCGTGCAGATTTCGGTTCTGCTTCCAACACTAACGAGATTCCGGGATTCATGCACGTGTCCGCTACTTGGCAGCGCACTTTCGTCTCTACGTTCCAACGTTCATTTACGTCCGAGCGGGTTCGCATCGTTCCCAAACCTTCGTCCAAAAAAAAAAAAAGTTAACACCCAACACCCTTCATGTCACTCTTCCCAAACATGGCAAGCTCGTCAGATGGGCCCAGTACTACTTCCTTTCTTCGAACCATCTCAGGCGGCACACAGTGGAGACTTCCTGCGCAGGCTTGCGTACGTGAGATCGACGCGCTGCCAAGAGACTTTTGCCTCTTCTCACAGCTGCCGCGGTTCGAAAGACCATGACCCGTTATTTCTGCCGATTGGCTTGGCTTTTTTGGCAATACGAGGTAGCGCCTGTCGGCGGTAGACATTCGACAATCGCTGTTTGTAATCTCCATTCTTGTCCCTGGTTTTTTGGCAGTCTCGAAACTGATAGTGCGATGCAGAGATGGCTATCGTCGCGAGGCTGTTCTCGTTTTGAACCAACTTGACGACTCGCCAGGCAAGAATTGCGCCGTGCAGGCTTTATATGGGACGCGTTTCTGCCTTGGCTGTTTGTATAGTTTGCGTAACGCAGTGTGACACGTGGCCAGAGAAGGGGGCGGTTGGTGGTGCCAAGTTGAGCAACTTGATGCAGTTTGTATGTCCGTGAAGATATATGATATGTAGGTCTGTGTCTGAGTGCCTAGTCTGTCAAGGTCGACTTCGAGCGACGCTTACACGTGCATATATAAATTATGTCGTAAAATGAGTGTGCTATTCGGATAAGAAAGGCAGGCCGCGAAACTTTGCCAAAAAGTGCGAAAATGCCTGAGAACATACATACGCAATGTCAAAAGTAAAGATATAAAACTACTCAAAACGGGCACCGCAGGATGTCTCGGTCGTGCAGTCCTTCCTTTAGGCAGGACAATCGCTTCCGATTGAAGTCACAATGTGATTGGAGTCCATTTCCACATGGAACATGCACGTTCATGAAGCAGGCCTTCAGTCAGCAATGCCTTTTTTTTTTTTAAGCGGGAAAGGGGGTGGGGGGTCGCTTGGTGAAAAAAGCGACTGTTTGAGAAATGGACGAAACTGTCGCTACAATAGCGGCGTAATAAATACATGTCATATTTTTGTCATGTACTCATGCCCAGTCGGTCTCATTATACTTGGCAGATGTACAAAATTTGTCATTCGATATAAAAAGTTTGCGAACCCTCTCGTGCCGAAATTTTCTGAGAAAAGGAAAAGAGGGGTGCAGAAGTGGTGTCTCTGTACCGAAGTACTTGCAGTTCTACCCTTTTATAGAAAGAATGCTCCGGGAAGCAATTATTTTCTTTTATATAAAATGTATCTCATAAGCAAGGTGCCTCGTAGGCATTTTCTTATCAACCCATAGTTTACTGTAGGCACAGTAGTGTCTCATATATTTGTATCTTACATCAGTGTATCTTATAAAGCGGTTCGACTGTAATGCATGCTGTGGGGCTAAATTGATTTTGGCGAATTCTGTGTTTCGTGTGTGCGTACTCTGTGTTTAACGTGATTTCTTGACGTAGTTGAAACATGACTCTCCACGGACGCAATAACGGCTTTATGCTATGTGTAACATTCGGCCAGCTGCGCTTGTAGCCTTCAGGAATCGCTTTTGAGTCGGAATTTAAGGTATCGTGGTACTATGTTTTCTTTTTCTGGGGTCTTTGGTGATTGCGAGGTTTCACTTTCCTTCACTTCCCTTTCACTTCACTTTCCCACTTGCTTGGTGTAGTGTACTACAATGACTTTACTGTACACATGTCTATGGTATCATCTGCTCGCGTGCCGGGATAGCCGAGTTAGTTGTGACGTTCGTTTTTGGATTCGTTAATACGGGCGCTGGTATCAAGAAAGTCGTTTGCCACCCAGAATTCTTTTCTCTCTTCCTTTTCTTTCTCTCCACTCGTTCTCTTACTCATCGGAGTTCAATCCCATACCGGAGAAATTAGCGCACGTGTTCTGGCAGCAATGCAGGAGATGAAGAAGACGATAGAGAGGAGAAAAAAGGACGAAGATAGCCCGTGCTGGTTCAGGTGGATGCTAGCCTTTGCATAGCAGATTACGTCCGCCGACAGGCATTAATTAAAAACTTGGGAGGACCCTCAAGCGTAGCTTTTAAGAATTCAACACGATAGGCCATACACTGTCCCTATAGTGCGTATTGCAGTTACTTACGCATATATTTTTTTTATTGTGTGATGTTGCTCGAAAAGTTTAAATTGTAGGTTACTACATTGTAACTGATAAATTTAAAAGTGGTTCGCGTCTGTGAAGTTTTCGCATATGTCTTCATTATGTCTTATAGGTAGCATGCTTCAAACCACTAGCGATTAGGCGCCTCAAATGTTTCGGAACCTGCTATGCACCTTCTGCATGGTGTTTAAGGGAATATGCGCCGTAACGTGCGTGTCTCTTATGAAGGGGTCACTGGCTCTCAATAACGAAATCTTTGTGACAATCACATATTGTGACGCCCAATGACAATTTATGCCTGTACCACGCAATACTACAACAATATTGCATGTCGTATTGTGAAGCCTGCATACAGGACGATTGTGTTTGGTAAAGCATGATTATGATTTTCACTCTGTTCCCACACAGAGGAAGTTATTTTAACTCTACTTTCAAACAGACGTGTGGTTGTGGGGTAGGACGCCTGCTTATTACGCAAACAGCGCGGGTTTGATTTTCGTTCGGACCCAGAAATTTTCATTGTTTATTTCGTCTGCATGTTTTTCGATTGTTCGTTTGCGCACATGATGGTTTCTCGCTCACAACCAACTATGCCCCCACCCACACGGACGCTGATGCCAGAATTTCGGAGCAACAAGCACTGTGACGCTATCGCGTTAATAGC